AAGACACTTACAGACCCGCAGTCCACCATTCGCTCCTGTCTATTCCCTTTGCGATCTGCTCAAAACTGAGCCCTGCCTTGTTCTTGGCATCGTGCAGTACCGAGATCACAGGCGGTTGGTTCGCAAGCACTGTAGGACGGTGATGGCCAGTTGCTTGAGGAGCAGACATGACGGACGACGGATTGGAGGGTGCTACGAATTCAGGAGGGGGTTTGAGTCTCAGGGTGGTCTTGACGCATTGGAGGGTGCCCTGACAACACCGCTTGGGCTTTCTATATACCCTCAAAGATGGATCCTAATCGGCACCTTGGTCAGATCACCTTTGCGCTAATCAGAGCACAAATCAGGTCATGTTGTACTTTTCGCACATGCTCTGCTCATGTTTGGCGCTGATCAGGCTTGCCCCTCCACATGCCAAGACTTCTCGAGTACCCGGATGGGCAAAGTCAATCGATCAGTGGAGTTGGTGCGGAACGCAGTGTCGTGCCTTCCCAAGCACTTGGCTTATCAGAGGAACGTCTCATCTCGCTTACCTCGGTCGCGGCCATACTCCGCGACCAGAACTTGGGCCCATGCAGTTCACGATTCGCGATTCGCCGCGTCGTTGGCCCGAGATAAGAGGGAAGACTTGTGTCACGTGCTCTGATACGTTGTGCCAGTCTCACAACCAAAACAGCAGAGTCCTCCCAAATCTTCGCGACCGGCGTGGGGGTCAAGACCACGATCACGGTCAACCTCGATCCAAATTAGGCTGTCAATTCTGAAACGAATTACAGTAAGGATACAGAAAGGGCAAGAGCAAAAGGAGGGTAAGGATGCAGCTCTATAGCATCCATCAGAGTGGAGCGAGCGCGAGCAGGAGCAACGTGCGATGCATAAAGCAAGCAGGCAAAGGTTGCTTGCTGATAGGCAGGATCTCAGAAACTCAGACGACTGCATGGCGTCCTCACTTCTTGAGTGCGAAACCAACGCGGGGGTTGGCACCGCCTGCAGAGTAGTCGAAGCCAGCGTAGACGTTTTGCAAGAACGTGTCACCGAGGATCCAGCCGTTTTGAAGTCCGATGTCAGCACCGACAATGCCTGCAATCTTGAAGAAGCCTTGGTTGGTGAGCAGCTGAGATTGCTCAGACAGCGTCACATCGAGACCAGCAACGTTGAAGGTGAACTTGGGCGTGCCGATGGCGTAACCGCAGAGCACCTCTCCACCCTGGTAAAGAGGAACACCGCCAGCTGCCAAGCAAATGCCAGCGACTTGAAGCGGGGGCCCGAGGACAATGGTTGTTCCGGTGTCGACGATGACGTTGTCTCCGAGAGACGCACCGTTCAGCTTTGCTCCAGAAATTTGCCAGAATCCTTGAGCCTTGTTCACGTTCGTAAACTTAAGAGGTGCCTTGTAGCTGCCAGAGTTGAAGAAGCCGAGGTCCAGACGGGCTCCTTGAGGGTAGAGACCGAATCCGAATTGCGGCTTGTCGAGCTTGCCCTGCTTGATCAAGCTGACGTAGAATGGATCCGCCTTGAATTGGGCGATGCTCGGGAAAGCCATGCCGGAGATACCGTCAGAGCTAGATGCATCCAGTGTGGACTGACGAGCTTGGCCAATGGCTTGGCCGGTGGCAGTCAGACCACCAACGGAGATGTTGTCCGTGTAGATTTCGCCAGTAGCTTGGGTGCCATCACCGTATCGCACGGTGAAATTGCGGCCAGTGTCTTTGGCGGTGGAGCCAGGGTTGTACTTGCCAGGCTGGAAGAATGTGTCGCTCGATCCAGTGTCAAAGTCGAGCTGGGCGGTGTTGCTGCCTGCCGTAAAGGGTCCCTTCCAGAGCAGCTGATTGCTGACATCCTGGAGGCTGACCGTACCAGTTGCACGCTTGGTGTGAGCAAGCCGAGACTGAACTTGGCCAAGGATGTCCTGGATGACTGTGCTCGTGGCGTTCAGCAAAGGGTTGGTCTCGCCAGTGTTGTGCTGGTAGTTGACGAGATTACGAACGTACTTGTAACGAAGCCGGGTGATTTCGCTGAGCAGACCATCGCGAGTGAGAGGCGTGGCGCGTTTGGCGATGTTGAGCGTCGAAGTGGATACTTCCCGCTCGGGGAGGGGAGTGCTGCTCACGGCAGTAGCAGCGGCCAGTGCCACCGCGAGGGTAGAAAGGAAAGTGGATCGCATTGTGGATGGACGACAATCAGGAAACGAGAGAATGAATGGCGGGTGCTTGAATGTGGAATATGGAGGTGGGCCTCGCACTTGGGGGCGCGAATGTTCAGCGGCCTGAGGGGGGGCGGAAGCGACTCTTTATGTACCCAGCGTGGGGAACTCAACCTGCTCTCTCGGCAATATGAACGCTTTCCTGGTAGGCTGCTGCCCCACATAGACAAATCATTGAAAGCTTCTCAGCCCCTTGGTGTTGTTGCATATGATTCAACATTTAGATCGCAGGCCTGCAGCCTGCGGTCAGTCCAGACGTCTGATCTGGTCGGACTTCATATGAGATGAGTGCTCCAAAGGCCGGCTTGCAGTCGAACGCACCTGTGACTGGCGCAGAAATCCGCCACTAGTCGCGATTAGCAAACGAGATGAAGGCGGAGAACTCCTACGGTCGGTGGCTCCTAGTTGCGCTGCCGGGCTTACGAGCATGATGCGGGCCTGTCATCCCTCTTCCCTCTCGCGCCATCAGCAGGAGCGTTTCGCTAGAAGTGTTTGCTTGTTTGGAGCGAAGTCTCAGCCGCGACAGCAGCACGACCGAGACTTGGCTGCTGCTGCCGGTGTCTCGTTACTCCAAGGAAGGCAAGTCGCTCGTGTGAGTGCAGCAGGCAGGCAGGCACAGCGCCCGCGTTGCGTGGCGTGGCGCTAGATCTGCAACCTGCAAGCAAGCAAGCGCTGCAGGCACGAATTGAAAAGTCAAGAGTCTGAATCATGGGGAGTGTGACGGTGTGTTCGGGACATGGCAGGGCCAAACTTTCTCCTCGTGCTGTTTGGTCCGCTAGCCTCTCGGTGTCAGACCCTTCCAGCTCTCGGTGTGTCAAGATGACGCAGAGCACACACCCCCTCTTCCCATGTCTGATGCGCCATTCGATTGCCGACGGCTCGTGCCGACGGTGTCGAGCCCCTCGACCCTCCGTAAAGATCGTCGAGGCCTAGCCAGGATCACCTCAGATCGAGCTGCTGCCCGCCTCGTCACCTCTGCCCCAAGTCAAAACTTTCGTGCCCAGGGTCAGAGTCTGTACTCCTTCCGTACGTCTTAGGGAAGCTTTGTGCGCTTGTGCGCGAGTTCGACTGAGAGATGATCGATCAAAGTTTTTGGCTCTCTTTGCTTGGTCCGGGCTGCTGCCGCGACCCAAGGTAAGGCGGATTCGCGGCCGCCCGCCGGCTCTCACATACAGGGCGGGGCTCAAGGGAGATTGTGATAGAGGCTGTCGCCACTTTCCGCCTCCGCATGTTCCATCGAGCGTTCCCCACAGCGTCCCGCGTCGGAGATCGAAAACATCCGCTCGAGCCTGGATTGCAAAGAGTCCGCACGGGCAATCACGAATGCTGGATATCGCCTTGACGAAGGCTGGTGCGCATCACGGAGGTCCGAGAAGAGGTGAACGAGAATTACTCAGCCCAGGAGCTCGAGGCAGTGAGGTGCACGGAGCTGGTAAAGGTTCAACCATACATCGTCTTTAGCATATGGGCTGAAGCTCGAGAAATGGGCCGACGCATTGAATGTCATGACAAGTAGTACCACCAGTGGCGGGATATCTTGGCTCATTTCGCCACCAAAAATGAACGTGCCCCCGCGCTTACGCCCATTGCACTCACTCGACTGCACCGTGCTCTGTGGATGCTGCCTCCCTTTCTGTCAGGGAAACTTGTTGCACACCAAAAAGGAGAGTTGTATCATGTCTCGAGGTCCCTTCACGCGGACTCGATGGTCTGCACTCGTCTCGCACCATCATCAGCTGTACCTCTACAACCACGTCCTTGCCAACTCTTCGCACAAGCACGTGGTCTGCTCCACTTGACGACTCGGACGCCCGTTTATTGTGTTTGCGGGCCGGAATCGAACGCTGGAGCTGCACGCGCCCCGGATCACCCCACGCCAACTCATCCCAAGTATAATTTGGTATCACCCGCACATACTCGGACATTCGGGCGTTCGGACCCAGGGTGTATTGATAGTTCGGAGACTTGTATATAAACAAGTGACCTTGCGCGAGACGCGTCGGTGGTTGCCAGTGCTTGTCAAGCTAATGAGCCACGACCGATCGCTGGCGATGCGCTTGCTCGATAAGTCGTGACTTGTATGACGTGGTTGCCCAGAAGTGAAGTAGGTACGAAGGACCAATCATGGATGGATGCACTCTTGTCTGCTGAGGGTGAATCTCTGTGACCTGAATTCACTCTGATGGATGTTCCGCAGTCGAATTCGCGATGGGTCCACTGTGACTCTGGTCTCACATGGGTCTCACCCTTATTCCAAGCATTATCCATGCACTTCGCTTAAGTTGGCCTCATGCGTGCATGTTGAAACGCATGTTAGTGTGGAGCGTCAGCATGTAGGTATATCATCTGCGACGATTAAAAAAAGCATGACCGAAGTCACAGCAGGTAAGATGCCGGTCTCATGCACATGCTACATGCTGGTTCCGCATTTACGAAGATACAGGTATAAGCATCAAGGCGGTCTGTGTCTCATTCAACATGACCTGGAAGTGAAAGTGAATGGAATGCCTGAATCGCATATCAAGTGGGGTCAGATCACGAGCTGTCAACTTGAATGCCGTGGTCGGTCGCCAATGGCACGCAAGTTGCCCACATGCTGCGCCAAAGAGAAGAAGCTGGAGATCGTGCTGATTGTGATGATGACGACGACGATGAAGATGGCTAGCGTAGAAGAGATGCGCGATAACGTGACCTTGGCGGTCGCAACATGACGCTTATTTAGCGCCTTTCTCTTGGCGTGCTCCGCATTTGATTGTCGTGATCGGTCGAGCGCAACAGGCTTCGTCTGCCGTTGGCAACGCGGCGAGTTGGTGAAAGCGCATACAGTCAAAGTACGAGAAGCATTCGAAGTGGGAGGCAAGCAAGAATGTGATTCACGAACATTCTGGCTTCGGCACCCACCAGAAAGAGGCAATCAAGAATCAAAAATCAGGCTAGGAGAGAATACAGACAGGGACAAGCGCACGTGATGACACTTTGCGACCTCGGCGGCAGCCATCACGCAAGAAGATTTTATCAGCTTTTACTCAAGACTCACGACTGGATGCGGGTGCGCGGGTGCGGGGGGTCGGCTGACGATTGACTTGGCAATTTGAAGAAGGAGCGGATGAGAGGTCGCTTTGCAAGCGAGAGTACCGTATCCGTTCACAAACTGCCAAACGACGACTCACTGCCCACTGTTTCTTTGCACACGTTGGCCAGTCTGTACTCATCCTTTTTGACTCTGACCAAGATGCGCTGCGGCAGCGGCAGCTGCTCAAGTAAAGCTTACGAGTCCCTTCACCGTGTCGTGCCGTACCTTGCTCTGCCGACCATGGCCGGGGTACGCCGCGCCATTAGTGTCAGGTTACGTGCACCCTGCAGCTTTGATTGGATCGTGATCGGCCTTCGAGCGCGACCAAGGCTTCTCTTGCGGGGGAGGGTGCGATGCCCGCCATATGACAGCAGCGAGCCGCTGCTCCTGCGACGGGTGTGCTGGACGCGCGCAAGCTCTCGGCTAGCGGCCAGGGTGGGTGTGAAGGCAAGGCAGCGGCGGCCTCGATTTGGCCTCGCTGATCGGGGGGACATCAGACGCTGGCGAGTCCGTCCGTGCTTAGGTTCGTGTGCTTCATTGCCAGCAGCTCATTCGTGATTGCCAAGCCCTTCCAGACCGCGCGTTTCTGCGCGCGGCGCGCTTTCAACCAATTCACGCGAATCGTGAATCGTGAATGTGAATGGAGTCACTGTACGCAGTCAGCATGAGTGTTGAGTGGTTGAAAGCGCCACACGCAGCACATGCATGCAACTAAAGGAAGGCGCTGCATATATGCTGCTGGCAAGCCACCACAGTCACAAGTCTTGAG